ACAAGCCATTCTGAAATAAAAATATTTAATTATTGTAGTTCTGCTTGCATTTTCCCCTGAAACCAGGGCCAGGACCAACTAATGCACTCAGGATGTGGCCTGGCTCTGCTCCTTCTGCCCCAGCTTTGTGCACAAGTTCCCATGACATGCTAAGCTATGCTGAGAATAAGCCAGCCCAGACTGGTTGCCCACTTGCTAACTGATGAACGATTGGGTGCTTGGCACTTCCGTGGCTTTTCCGCTGCCTCTAGTCATTCCCAGGTCCTCATTTTCTCCATCCCTAAATCAGTGCCCTTTCTACAACTGTTCTGCTGGGGTTACTGGCTACCTTCCCACACATATCCAATCGCTCAATGAAATTAATTTTCGGAGCCCTTATGAATGGAGTAACACATTCACACACTTTTTAAAAATAAAAATTGAGAATCTTCTACAAGTGTACAAATGTGCTGGGTCCATACAGATATGAAAAATTCCAAGGTACTGATATGCAAATTTCATGCCAAAGCCGAAAGAGGGAAGACATGCATAAAACAGGGCAAAGGAGGGTAGAAATTTTCAGGGAAAATGTAGAGTCAATAAAGTTACACATATTTCATGGAAGAGAAGTCAGAGGGAGTGGTAAACATGCAAATTTCATGGCACAGCAGTAAAGCAGAGGGGAAAATGGTGCAAATTTCAAAGCCACAGACCTTTGAATATATGTATTTATTTCAATTTTACACTTCCCATTAGCCAAGGCTCTCTGGGTGGTTAACAAAAGTTAAAATTAAACAAACATTAAAAAGACACACACAAACATTAATTTAAAAGAATAAAACCATAATAGCAATTACAATTGCTATGATTCAGCAAAGAAGCTGAATATGTGTATTTAGATAAAGCTGGAAAAATCTTAAGGTTGTGAATGTGTACAGGACAGTCTCTGGTGTGCTTTCTTCCTAATTTTTAGGAGCATAGGGTGGAACGGAGTGAGAGAGAGTAGCAGCAACACTGAAAAGATCATAGGAAGCAGCTCTTTAGCTGTCCCTGTCAACCCACTATGACGTTTCCCTACTGGGTTCATAGCCTGGATTCTGAGGGTGGCTTGTTTGTGAAAAACAGGTCATCCTGCATAAGCCACACTGGCTTTGGACATCCTGACAAGCTATGGTGGGTCAGCATGTTGCACAGACCAGGTCAGTAGCTGCTCCTTTCTACTCTCATGAGTGGTAGAAGCCGCTTCCTTCAAGAAAGACAAATGCTGAACTTGCCCAAGCACAGACTAGGGTGGCCACTTGCACATCACTAAAAAAGAAGGAAGACATCAGTAAAGGAGGACAAAAGAGGGTAGACATTTTCAGGGAAAATGTAGAGTTGCAGAAGGAGAAATAACTACTATAATGCAGACATTCTATATCTCAGCATAGTGGAGAAGACTGTGACCTCACCTGCGTTCCTGCCTGCTCGCTGGACTGTCCAGGAGTCAGCTATGGGGGACAACTTCAAGGTCACCGCTACGATCCCTCCTTCCTTATCTTAAACCAAACTTGAGCCAGCCAGTGCTTCAAATGGAGAAAACAGCAAAGGGTCCTGTGGCACTTTAAAGACTAACAGATTTATTATGGCGTAAGCTTTCTTGGTCTGCCATCCATTTCCTCAGATGCATGAGTGTTATGTTCAGTTCATAATAAGGATGCTCATACATATGCATGGAATTCAGAGTGACATTTCTGCATCTGATGACACAGACTGTAGATCACTGAATCTCGTGCCAGCCATCTCCAACCTGGTGTCATCCAGAAGTTTTGGACTTCAACCTCTATCAGCGGACAGTGCTCAGGACTGTTGGGAGAAGTCATCCAAAATATCAGCAGGCCACCAGGCTGAGGAAGGCTGGCTTATGCCATAGTACATTTGTTCATCTTTATTATTTTGCTGCAACAGAGATTGTTACCCATCTGGAAATTCTTCATCTAGAAGTTGCAATCAAATAGAGGACTGTCCTCTGGTAGCCTTTCAAATGGAAGATTCTTCTCAATAAAGTAAGACACATTGCCACCAACCAATAAATAAGTCCATTAGATGTTCAGGTCAATCAGGTCTTATTTGTCTTTGTCCTGGAAGGTGGAAATTGACAACCTCTTCTTATGATGCACTCAAACAGTCATACATACCAGATCTTTAAGAATTCTCTCAACCTAGCTATCTAAAATGCCTGCTATGGTCTCATACTTTCATTATAATGAAAGCCCTAGAAAGCCACCACTTCTCCTAAACTATTCATTTCTCTTTATGCTCCTCACACAAGGAGAGGCATGCATGGATGTGCTCCACTTAGAGGGACCCTTGTGTAGTAATTCATAGTAACAGCTACTCAGATATGAGCTTTTTGTGCAGGCTAAGCAAAATGGCATATTGTAGGCATGCAGTGTGTACTTCTTTGCATCCATACTATTTGACAGAAGATGTGAAAGGTAAAGCCCTGAAATAAAACCCTAGTATAGATTCCAAAGCTGATCTTCCCCCCAGCTTTACAAAAGCTTTCACCTTGTGTGATCTGCACAGGAAACAGGCAAACATGATTTCCTCTTTGTACTACTGGTGTTTATTCTTTTTCTTAACTTTATGAAGTCATCACACTGATAGGTTATTTATAAAATATGTACAGAAAATTGCCAGAGCAGTCATTCAGCCTTTATAGTCTGTTGGACTCATAAACCAAACGTCATAGCAAAAGACACTTCCTCTGCCTTGTGGGGGTGAGAAGGATAAGGAGCTCGCTGTTGAAAAACATAAAGATTTCAAAGTCTGCAAGCAAATATTTACAGGTTCCAAGACAAAAAGTTATCTATAGTGTCGTTTTGAAAATATAGAAGCTTGTGCAAGACTCAGAATCTCTCGCAGTTCCATTTGTTATGATGATTTATAAGGGATATGTACATTGATTTCCATGGTCTATCCACTTAGCAAGAACGCACAACACCAATGGCTTTGCATTCATTTGTGCTTAGGAAGCAGGGCCAGGGACAGCTCTGAACATGGATTCATTGCTCAGCGTTTTGTCAATACAACAGGATGCCTTCAAAATAGCCCCTAAATCTTGTGTGAATTCAGAATCACTGAGAATACACTCCAGAAAGAAAAACAGCCAGTCCAATAATTCTTTGAGGCTTTCATAATTTGTGTGGAATGTATGTCTCCACAAGTCCTTAGAATACAGCCTAGACTGAACTTTTTGGAGTCCAGCTAGGATGAACCTGTTGATTCTCCATACATGCACACCCATGACAGTACAAATATGAGGTGGGTTTTTGTACTCATGTACACCTATAAACAATATCCCTGGGAAGCAGGAGCACTTTCTTAATAGGATTCAGTATATCCTAATGGCTTGAGTAAAGACAATGCCTTTAAGCACCCAATAAAGCTTAGTTACGCAGGGGTGCTGTCAAAGGGCAAAGTCAGGAATAAATACTGCTCAGGGTAGCCTTAAATATTGCATGTTGCAGTTTCATTCACTTAAACCCTCAAAGCAGCTATTCAGGAACAAAGCCCACTGGACAGAGAAGAACCACTGAGATTTGAGCAGCAGGGAGAGAATTCTCTCTCTTGCTTGTTCTCTCCATATATATGACTAGTCTGATAATTCTTTGAGTCTTTCATAATTTGTGTGGAGTGTGTGTGCAAGGTAGTTGTTCTGATCTTTCTTCTCAAAGCACAGAGACAGCAACTTACACAGTACCTTAGTCCTAGCACCTACCGAAGGTCAGGTTGCCTTCTTGATCTGGTCCCTAGAAGGTCCTGGGTGCTGTTTCGGCCCCATAGTGAAGTGGCCAAAAAGAAGAAGCGGGGGAACAGGCAGCCATTCAAAGCACTCAAGCCATCACTTAATAGTGAAGAAGGATGTCTGTTTCCCGTTTGAGAAGGAGTGGAGCAAGGGATTGAAAGACAGACCAGAGGGCACATAACAGGGTACAGTGTTTAGTACAGTTGAAAGTAACTGTTTCATCCACTGCACACACTAATATATCCATCTTCTTGTAGAGACATGCCCATTCCCACATAGAGAAGCATTATACTGAAAGTAAGCTAGTGAACCTTATGTGAATCTCCCAACTATGGTCTACATCTTCCTTCTTCAAGCAGAGACATTGTTTGTAGATCATTACTGCAGTGTGCTTCTCTGGAACCTTCCCTGGAAGCAGAGCCTGCTCCCTGTTGTGTTCCAAAGTTCAACCCTTAGAACTAATGCTGTGTGGTCCTTAATGTGATCCTAGTGAGCTGCATGTAAGACTGGTTGCCAGGACCTTCTGAGTCTTTCTGTCAGCCTCAAAGCAGGCATTCTCTCTGGTGCGGACCTACAAAGTTGCCTGTGTTTCAAATGGAGACAGCTCTACACCAAAACTAAAAGATCTGAAGCAGTGCTAAGAAGTCAGGCTTGAGTTGTGTGCCAAGCCTAATTCTGAACAAACAACCCACTAAAGAGAGATCCTGCAGGGTCATGTATATTGTTCTACAGTGTCTTAACCCAGCTTGCCTCAACTTAAGGAGTTTATTTCCCCACCTTCACCACCACCAGCATCCAGTGACCTAGGGAACTTGTTATTTCGTGTTCAAACTAGGTGCCCAAGAGGAGCTTAGAGCAGGTTGACAGTGCCCTTGTACAAGTGCTGTAGTACTGATGCACAAATATCTCACAGGTGTTTGAGACCACTTCCATTTCCACAAATGTGGGCTCAATGTGCAGGCATTTGCCTGGAAGAACACTTGCGCAAATACTTGCAGAATGTGCACAGCTACTGTAGAGGGAACATATATAGAGTGTTTGTAGAGCTAAATATCTACGAAGGGAAATGCTATACTGTGCACTCCTCTGTGTGTGTGTTTCATACAACATTTATGCATAAAGGAGCGATTGCATGAGAGCAGCTTGTGGACCAGAGGCCAGGTGGGTGAGTACATTTCTATTTCCTGGTCTCGGAGTCCAACAGGTCACCAAAGGTCAAACTGTCCATAGCCTATGCAGGTGAGACTTGGCTGGAAGAGACAGAGGATACCTCAGTCTTGCTCTGGGATACAGTTGATGAGACATCCTCATCCCCAAAGGGGTTCTTGCCACAACAGATTGTGGTAATCATGCAGTTACGGAACTGGAAAGAAAGAGAGAGAACAAAGATGCCCTGGAACAACTCATGTGTAATCCACAGCCAGGGAAGCTCAGGTCACAAAGAGACACTCTTAGGCAAAGCAAAGGGTCTCTGTATGCTCATTGGGTTGTCAACTATAGGCATGTTAATCTTCATCACAAAAACACAATTTCTAGGAAACAATTTAGTGGCCAGTATGGCATCCCAAGTGACTCTAAATAGCAGATTGGGATAGATTCTCACATCTAATTGGACTGTAGACTTGAGGCACATAATGTTAGCTAGAGTGATCATTTTACGGGGAATCCCATTACACCAGTTAACCCTAATGACACCGTGCTAGAGGTCTCTTATACTAATAAATACAACATCATTCGTATTAACATTCATGCTCAGTTGGATGCTGCCCTTGATTAGGAAAAAAATATCAGTAGAGCCATACTGATATTCAGAACTAGAATGGCAGAAAGTTGCATGTCCCTTCTAGAGCTGGACTGATGATACAAAAAAGCAGTGGTGGTGAGCAACTTGTGAACTTCTGGATGCTTCACCCTACAACTCCTATAAGCCCTAGCCAGCAGAGCTAGTAGTGAGAAAAAATGGGAATTTTAAGCTGAAACCTTTGGAGGTCCACAAGCTGCCCACGCCTTCAAGTTTCAGAAGTAAGGGGTAAGCTCGGATCCTACTGGGAAACCAGTAGCCCAAAGGGAAGGAACTCTCACCTGTTTGTTCATGAGGACATAGATGATGGGATTGTAGAGAGATGAACTCTTGGAGAAGAAGGCAGGCACTGACATGAGTGTAGCAGAAAAGTCTGCCCCTTTGTTGGTGAAGATCCAAAATGCCACCACAGCATAGGGGGTCCAGGCAAGCATAAATCCCAGCACCATCAGGATGACCATGCGGGTAACTTCTTTCTCTGCCTTCTGAGTGCTAGCAGATTCTTGCTGCTGAGCAGCTGCCTGGGAACATGGAGAAGACCAGAACTCGAGACGACTTTCTCCAGCCAAGCAGTTTTATATATTTAGACTCCCAGTGAGGCAGTACTGAGCTGCCGGCTGCCACTATTGCTCCTCTGAACCAGGAATATTGGAAGAAACAGCAATGGATTTAAATCAGTTCAGAGTTCTCTCAAACCCATTTGTGGATTCTGCTGTGGAGTGGCTTTTTCTGATTGCCAACGATTCCACACACTTCTGAACCCAGTTTTCAAATTGGAACGGGGGGTTTTTGCACCTACATTAATATTAGCAGTAATGTATGTAGAGTACATGGAATGAAATTCTCATAGATCTCACTAAAAATCTGCAGATTACAGATAGAATGGATTTTTTTAAATGCATTCATTCCTAGTCAGGACCACCAGAAGAAAGCAGTTGGCTGCTGTCCTCCACCAGCTGACAAAAGTGGCAAGTGCATGCAGGTCCCAGCTTCTCTCCCTCCTTGCATGGAGTAGAAAATCTTGGGACCAGGCTCTTCTTTCCTTCACCCCACCACAGTTTTCATTTTTCCAAGCCACAAGCAGAAGGCTTGGAATTACTGACAGAGGTGGCAGCATTGCCCGGAAACTCGGACCCATTTGCCTTCAGAACACGTAGGCAGTCAATGCTCCGAGCAATCTCAGCTGGCAGCCATCTTGGCTGCCTACTGCCTCCTGGTGGCCACAGCAAGTGGCAACAACAGCAGAGGGGAGACGAGTCTTCATTAAGAGGATCATGCCTGGTGGCCTTTACATGGAACTGCATGTCTAAAGGAGCTGGGAGTGAGAGGCAGTGAAATAGAGACAAAAGACACCTAAAGAGTAAGTCCTATTTCCACTTTCACCCATACAGGTTTGGAACCAGATTTACACTGGAGAAATTGGACTTCCCTACCCACTCCTTTTTATAACAGCCTATTCGGACCTCAAAGAATGGTACCCACAAATTCAGAAGACTCTGTTGAACGGGGTGAGCTGTAGCAGGGGGAAATCCCCAGAGCCCTTCTATGAACAGAGCCCTTCCCTTTGTGGAAGGCAGACCCTGGATCCAATGCATGGAGATCCAGTGATCCAAACGGCGACTGAGTTATATTCTTGACTCTTCAGAAACTCTCCCTGCCTCTTCTCCTTCACAGAACACAGGCAGACATAGGTAGTCCTAGCTGTTTTTGTGACACCACCCCTCCAACACACACACTCCCAAAGCAGCATCAGTAACAGCCAGGTGTACATTTCATTCAACACCTCCTTGCTCTCATTTTCTTTTCCCCCATATGTTGAGTGTGGACGAAGATGCACTTACCTCTCGGACTTTGCATATGAGCCGCCCATAGGAAAAGAAGATGACCACCACAGGGATGATGAAGTGGACGACAAACATATAGGCAACATAGGACTCATTGTGATAATCAGGGTTGTGAGTGTAATAATCTGGGCCACAGGAACACTGCATCCCCTCGGGTATATATCTGTCAAACGACAGAGCAAGTCACTGGAAGTTTTCATTTTACATAAAGCCTTTTGAATAAGACAAGATTCTGTTTCAGGACCCAGCAAATGATAAAAGGAAAATCTTAGTTGCCACCAGATTTCACCTAAAGTCTCTCTTTCCACTGAATTTGCAGGTTCTTTCTCAGGTGAACCATATGAAGGATTTCAAAGTAAATAAAAGAGATGTAGTTTTATTTCTATGAGACTACTGACATATCTCAGGGCATCTCCACCCATACCTAAGTCACTGTCAACTAAATTCAAGGTACATTTGGAGCTTCCAGCTTACATGCTGTCTTTAGACCTTTTGAGGGAAGCATAAAATAGGCATTTCCATAAGCCTAGCAATTATCTCGGGGGGCAGGGGTTAATTATTTATTATATTTATATTCCATTTTTTTCTTTCAAGCAACTCAACATAGTTTACATAATTCTGCTCCTTCTCTTAATCTTATCCTCACAACAGCAGCCCTGTGAAATAGGTTGGGCTGAGACTGGTCCAAAGTTACCCAGTGAGCCCCAAAGCTGAGTGGGGACTAAAATCCAGATCTCCTGAGTCCCAGTCCACCACTCACTACACCATACTGGCTCCACCTCTCCCCAACTGACAGCAGTAGCTGAAGCCATGGCTATGCTCAGGCATCTTTACTGAGGCTTCCCCTTATCAATTCTCTGTGTTTGCACTCCCTTCATCTCTCCTGTCCAGTTTAGCGAATGCACTCAGCTCCTTGCAGCAGCCCCCAACTGATCCTGACCTCGTCTGAACTAAGCTCTTCTAACAGGCTTTAATATGGGGATACAGGGCCCTTTTTGACCCTAGGGCTAAGTTCCATTATGGAGAGTATTTGTGTACTGCATTCCAGTGGTGGGTGGGCTCAAATCAAAAGGTGCCAAAGGGACAGGACCAACCTTGCCATAAATAGCAGGATGTTCTAGCGTAAAGCTCTTACTGCCAGTAATTAAGCCTTAGGGGGAAGAGGCACTTTTAAGAAGCCATCCAATGATCAGTGAGAAAGGGGTGAGGCCAGGGAAAGAAGTGGTGGCCGTCCAGGGAAACTAGTTTGACAAAAATGGAGCGCTAGATTTGGTCCTTAGATCTAAGCTTCTTTTCCCCTGCTTTAGTATTAATTTGAAGCCTCACTTTTAGCACATGGTACTTTCCAGGCATTTCCAGCAGACTCAGAAAAAGACAGACCTATGTTCATTCTGAGCTAGGGAATGGCCGTGTGGCCTTCATGGAAGAGGACTGCTCACTCAGCACCCCCATCCTAGACGTGTTGCTTCTTTGGAATACAGGAGGGGTTACAAGGATAAAACATGCACCTCTGTGCAATAAACAACTTGCTGCCCACTTCAGAGCAAAAGTTAAAATGTCATGGTCACAGCATGGCATAATTATAGAAACTAGAGCTGCAACATTTAATTGATTAAGCAGTTAGATTTATTGGTCAATAAAATTTGATTAAAATGGTGCCCCCAGGCAATGGATATAGATCAATAGGAATATAATTGCTTATAAAAATTGTGAATGTTTTTTAAGAACCAAAGAAACAATGCTTCTTGTTTCAAATGTATTGCTTTTACCTATATGCAAAATTGATAAATTAATCAACTAACCCAGTAAAAGTGATACGATCTCTTAAATTGAAATCTCTTAAATTGAGTTAAAGATAATTTAGTTAGGCTGAATACCTAACCATTCTTCTCTAGTGATCACTGATACAGTCAAGCAGGGGCCCACTGAGTTTTCTTCTCCAGGGGTCTGAGATATCCCAGGTAGTGTCATAAATCCAAGTCCATACTAAGATGCAGGTTTACTTGGAGGGTAACAGCAAAGGAGCTAAATACCGTATTTTTCACTCTATAAGACGCACTTTTTTCCCCCTCAAAAGTAAGGGGAAATGTCTGTGCGTCTTATAGAGCGAATGTGTGTGTGCCCGACGCCCGGGACGCTGCCGGCCCGCCTACACTATATGGCACCACCTGGCCGGCATGCTTTGGCGCGCCCTGCTCCGTCCCCCCCTCCGGCGCAGGTGAGAGCTGTGCCACTCAGGGGGAGCGGTGTGGAGGAGGAGGAGCCGCGGGCTTTAACCCACTGGCCACACGGAGAGATGGACTGCTTTCCCCCACCACCCGGAAGACCACCGCCGGCACGCTGCAGGCCCAGCTGCACCACGTGGCACTACCTGGCCGGCAAGTGTTCGGCGCCCCCTGCTCTGCCCCTCCCCCGCGCAGGTGAGAGCTGTGCTGCTCAGGGGGAGAGGTGTGGAGGAGGAGGAGCCGCGGGCTTTAACCCACCGGCCGCACGGAGAGACGGACTGCTCACCCCCACCGCCCTGGAAGACCTGCTGCCGCCGCGCCGCCTGGAAGACCACCGCCAGCACGCTGCCGGCCCGGCTGCACCACACCTGGTCAGCACGTGCTCGGTGCGCCCTGCTCCGCCCCCCTCCTCCGGCACAGGTGAGAGCTGTTAATCACAGGTTGGTGTGTGTTTTCAAATGGCAACCCGTCTTTTAATGAAGCCCATGGGGAAGTGATGGGGAATGTGCCTGTGATTATCAGGAAGCTTTCCATGGATCCCTCCTCTAAAAACTAGGTGCATCATATGGTCAGGTGCATCTTACAGAGCAAAAAATACAGTATGTCTGCAGGTTGCTCCACGCTGGCTCATTCCACTGGGTTGTGTAGCATCAGTTTGTTGTGAGTCTCGCTGCCTCCCATGGGGAATGTGTAATGTAATCTTTGTGTGTGTGACTGAACTTGTCAGACAGCTGTTCATTTTGTGGCAAGCAGAATAAGGAGGGCAGCAGGGAATATCAAGGGCCTTCAAGGCATATGGTATTTGGTCCTACTGAAGTAAAGCAGGGCAGTAGCAAATTGGGAATCCAGCTGCCAGTTTGCTGGAACATTGCACCTAAGGATTACATTATCCCATGTCAAATACTTTGTATGCAGAAATTCTCTTTCTTTTCTAGACTAAAATACGTGCATTGGGGCTGATCCAATACAAGTTTGGCCAACACGGGGAGGGAGATTAAAACTTTCCCCCTGCCTTCTGGGTTCAGGAGATTAAGACTAAAAAAATAAAAGCTTCTGTTGGGGGTGCATGTAGGCTACTTTCTTATTTTTACTCTATGTGTGTGTGTGGAAAGGGAGGGAGGAGGTTAGAAAACAAGCGTCTGGGGTGGAGGGAGGTTTAAACCTGATCTGGCTTTGAACATTTACTTTAGAGTAAAGCAGAAGTGAGGATCAGCTGCACACTACATTTTTAGCCTACAGTATAGAGTGAGGCTCAGTTACATGGCCATTCAAAAACTGAAATCCAAACAAGGCATTACTATAGATCTTATCCAACAACGCAAGGTAACTAGCATCCTCCCAGCTCACAATTCTGTACTGTAATTTACACATAAGTTGTCCTATGGATGAATCGTCCTAGAACATTGTCACAAAGTGCATAACCTAAAACATCTCCAAATTTCAATCTCCTTCCTTTTTTAGTTTTTTCAGTAAAGCAAAAGATGTTTGGGGCCCCAAAGTACACCAGAATCACTATAAGAAGAATTCTATGGGGTACTTTTATGTCCCAGAATATAGATCCCAGACAAAGAAACAAAAGATCATCTTTGTCTCTTGCTAAAGCTAAGATGCTTTAAGATGCTTAGCTTTAAAGCTTAGCAATCAGAATTAAAATCCAGTGAGGGAAAGCTATGCTCCGTGTGTGTGTGCGCGCACACACACATGCATATGTGTTTCAGAATTCATAGTCCAAACTACTAGTATGCAGAAAAGGGTACAGAAGGCCAAGCACTATTAGGGGGCTGTTCTTTTGTTCCATAGCCTCAGAAAAGAATAAACCTTGAATTACCTGTAGTTGCTAAAACCTGGAAACCATTCTTATGTTGACTGACATCTCCTGTGGGAAATTTTCAGCCAGAGCAGAAGCTTTTCATAGCAGCATTTTTCTTGCCTGTGGCACTTTCACCTGGTGTCAGAAATGACCCCAAATGCAACTAATGCTATTTTTGCTAACATGAGATGATTTTTATGCCCACTTGAGATTCCATAGCCCACTGGGTGCTGGGACAGCAGTTTCTGTTTGTGCACCCCTTCTTTACATACATAAAATCCAGTGTTCATAGTCCAAACAGAGGTGGTCAGTTTTTTCTGGGTGACCAACCATGCAAATTTCGTCTCAGCCTGCTAGACTGGGCCAAATTTGGATACAGAATCCCTGAACAGAAGCCCAGTAAAGCAGGGTGAGGACATCATGTGGGCAGGGAAAGCCATCAGCTCCACACTCCTGCAGGCAACTGGCAAGATCGGGGTGGGAGGGAAGTATTGTCTGTGATAAAATTCTGGAAAAGCAGCTTTGCAATTGGCAGGATACAGCCCTGCACACCTACATGCACCTGCGTGTATGTGTTAGGACCTTACAAAAGTATGAGCACACATAAAAAAATTTCCCCTAAGCATTCAGGATATGTTTTGAGAATACTGGTTTTATGTTATTGTTTGGTGGTGGGTGGTGGTTTGTTCGTTTGTTTTTGTTAGTTTAAATATTCAAGAGAGCTAACAGAGGGGAAATAAATACAATTTAAAATGGTTTGAAATTCCAATGCTTCTTTTAAAATCATCAGGAAGAGCTGTATGAATGACCCAGAGATACTTGCCTTTGAACTCACTTCCATATCTGATTTGTTCTTAAATTCAAGGGAAAACTGAGGACCAAATGTTGTATTAACCCGAATGAATGATTATCAGCAGCAGCATTTGGTTTAGGGAGATGCTTGATGTGACATCTTCCCATCCAGCATTTCCTGCACTGCCTCTGTTCCAGCACCCTCCAGTCATCTACCAAACCTGAAACAAGGTCATCAGTACCATGCCCTGCCCTGCCACATCCAGCCCCCCTTGCCAGCCTAGCTTTCCCAAGTGAAAAGCCGTAGCTGGAGAAGGGTAACAGTCAGGAGAACCTCTACTCTGCAATGCAGCTGTGAGCTCACCACCCTTCCTGTTTCCATCTTCCATCTTTTTTGCTGGAATTTGAAGGAATGGGAGGTGGGTGGGGGGTATGTTTGGGCTCTACAATCATCCATGCTGAACCCATAGAGAGGTCCTCAAGGATATTTGGGTGTACAACACGAACGCTCTTAAGTCAAAATACTCTTTGGAGTCAGCTACTGGGAGCTTACACATCCCTGAAGATTTCTGCTGGAATGAAGTAACTTTTTCATCTGTGGCTTGCAATGTACACAACCCCCACATCCACACCCACACACTCATATGTCTTAGAAACTGCAGCATAGCGTATTTTAAGCCACCAGCATAATTTCCTGGGCCTTCTACTGGTGAGCATAAAGACAGTGATAGGTGTAATTATAAGGGGAATTATAAACAATGCTTTGAAAGCAAAGCTGCAGAAGCAGAGTGTTAAGGGCTTAATTGAGCTGGATGTCTGGTATAGGCACAGTGTAAGCTCAATCATTTGTTCTTGATAAAGCACTGATGGCTTATGTACCATTCCTTTCCTCTTGTATGTAATGCATGAGACCAGCCTGTTGATTTCAGCTCTATTCAGGTTCCACAGAAATGACTGAAAGTACGCCTATGTGTCAGGGCTGCTGGATGATTTCCCTCACTTTCAGAACTGGCTATTGATTTTGTGTTTCCAAATGTGCTTCCAGATGGAGGGCTCCAGTAGGCATTCTAATATTTTTAGTGTATAACTTAGTTTTTGTATAATTTTGTATATTTTTGTTTTTGTTGTAAGCCGCCCGAGGCTTTGTTGTGATGGGGGTGGCATAAAAATGTTTCAAATAAATAAATAAAGATTCTGCATGGAAGAGAATGCCTAACCAGGAGCCTCAGCTAGGATCCAGAGACCCACTTAATGATTCCTACTCATCCAAAGGGGCTTCTGTTTCTTGTACAGAGGGCTGCCAGCCCATTACTGCAAGGAAAACTGTTGTTGCATCTGAGATAGCATACCAAAGCAGTCTGTGATATGGTGCTGAAAGTCAAAAAAGTCTGGGCATGCCCAGCCCAAGTAGCTCTTTCAATCCCAACCCCTGTGTGCAGGAAAAAGGTTTTTCATGTGAACCAAAGCTTATCCTAGGGGTGCAGAAACTCTTCCAACCCAAAGTCTGAATTCCACTTTGGAGAAGCCCATGAGGTTTTCATATTTCAGTGGTGGTAGAGCTGAAGGTGAAGGAATCTGGCCAGAATACATAAAATGCCAGCATACTTTTTAGCTTAAAGCTCAGTGATGAAGCCTTAGGAGAAGTATTTTAACCCTTTAGAATGAGGGGAGGAACTGAACAAAAGCCAGCAAACCTCCAATGATCTGTGGTTGAGGATGAAAGGGGTGAGACAATCAGAAGAGGGCAAAGCCATCTGGGAAACCCCAAGAGGCTAAATGATGAGCCCAGCTCTATGGTTCTATACTGTCACCTTATCATATTCTTTGCTGACCCAAACCTTGTTTTTGGTAAGACTGATAGATGCAATACAGAATATTTATGTGTTGGAAGGCTGGAAATGTGTACACCAAACAGGAATCCCAAAACTTAGCAGGACTGTAAGCAAAAACCTCGGACAATGCTAGCTTTTTGGCACTGTGCTCCAACAATGATTATAAATTGTTGTTGTTGTTGTTACCCTGCTGCACTGATTCTAAAACACCAACAGAGATCTTCTGGCACCTTAAAGTCTAACACATTTAGGCAGCAACCCAACAGGGACACCTGCAAGGCTCCAAACTTAGAGGAATGCAGGTATCTTATGTACAGTAGGGAATGTGCCAGAGCTAGTCACCACCACCTGACTCACACACCCTCCATTTTGGCCATCTGGCTGTGCTGCTTTGGAGACAGAGGGAAGAAGGCAGGAGTACCATCATGTCCTGGCAGCCACAGACTCCTCCATCCCTCCTGCCACATTCATAAATGCCTCTTTACCCCTTCTCCAAGGCTGCTCTTACAAGCTCAGGGAAGCAGTAGCCTATGTGGTTCTTCTATGCTGACTCTCTCTCTCTGTGGGGGGGGGGTGTTGGAGGGGAGAATCTGAGTGTGAATCCCCACCTCCAAGATCAGAACCCTCTTTCTGGACACCTGTTGAATCCTATGGCTTATTTATTTATTTATTTATTTATTTATTTATTTATTTAAACATTTTTATGCCGCCCCATTCGCCGAAGCCTCGGGGCGACTTACAACAATAAATTAAAACATCATAAATAACATTTTAAAATATACTGGATCCTGTTCTGCCATAAGCTTTAATGGACACTGTCCACATCATCAGATGTATTGTATTGACTTCCAATTGGCAGATCTATATAAACATGCTGGAGGGCATGGAGTGACACACGCCATTCGCAAAAAGTTGGGTGAGAAGTGCAAACCGTGGCCAATGGCTACGCATCCCAAAGGGGTGACCTCAGCTTCTCTTACTTACTTGAGAAAACCCACTAGCTTTCAAAATTACTCATATGAATCTTCTGAGGCTGAAAAGACGGCACTCACAACCGTTTTGCTAAAACTGAGATTAGTTTGCAGTGGCCTCTGGAGGGGGAATATATGCTATTTCTGTGTGTGCTCAAAGCAGAGGCTGAGTGTGTTCATCCACACATGGATGCGTGCATGCACAAGAGTGCCGCAGGCTCTGCAAAGGAGGAAGCAGCTGTTAAATGGAGCACAGCAGGTGGAACATGGCATTAGACAATTGCAAGACAAGCAGGCTGCACTTCCACTAAACTCAAGTTTAGTTCAGAGAGTTTTCCCTCACACTTTCCCTTGCTTTCTCTTCTCCCTCTCTCCACATCCACAGCTTTATGACTTGATCTTCTCAGATTAAATAGCAGAAGGCTCAGAAAGCTCAGGCTGCATTCTGAATTCATGGGACAATTTTGATGATATTCCAAATTTTGCACTAATTTATTCAGTACACATTTTCCATGCATGGACAAACTAGCCTGAAAACAGAGATGTTAGTCTGCAATCCTATACCTGTTGAACTCAATAGGAATGACTTCTTATCCTATGATTCCCTTCTACTATTTAAACTGGAGATGCCTCCATCGTCCTCCATAAGTGAGACCACATTGGATTTTGGAGTCATCAACTGAATGAGCCATCATACCAACAGGTCAACAAATTAATTTGTGTGGTTGTTTGCAATACAGAAGGGGAACTGAAACACTATGGCTTTGTAATGCATTCTGATTTACTAATCACCACATCAATACTGAGAAGCTACATATACAGGGCTTTATCTAATGTCATTCCTACTTGAAAAGAATGGGACTTAAGTTGGATGAAACCTGAAGACCATATGTCCCATCAGTCCAGGACTGAACTCAAGCCTGCTTTCCTATCTGCTGTTGTAGAACAAATCAAGCACCAGCCTAGGTGAGTAAATGGGGCTGATACTGATAAAAATATATCTGATGAACAGCTGTTCCCATCTTTACTTCACAACTAGACAGTTATTGACTACCTGGATTTCAAGATGGGACAAAAGTCTACCCCTGTGCTCACAAATAACATAAAACTATATTACCTACCTGGACCAACCAAAGAGAGGTGGGCAAGCACAGGATAAGGACATAACCCAAGTAAAAGCAATGCCCAACAAGGCATGGGTTGCAGAGAAGCGGAAGTTGCCCATTGGTTTACAGACCACAATATACCGCTCTATGGCTAGGACAACCAAGGACCAGAGGGCAACCTGACCTGTAAGGAGAGAGAAAAAGACAAACAAATACTGTTACAAATATTACCATCCTTTGATTGTGAGCATGAGCATCTGGGTCTATTAATCACTTGATCAAAAGTAATCACAACTTGGGGGATTATCTGTGTCTAGGCTGTGCTTCAAGCCTGTTAATGCCCTCAGCAGGTGATTATCCAATGATAAGTATGCAAGGCTTTGTGTCAGAAAGACAGCTGTTGCTTTTATGTCTAGCCCATCTTTCTCACTTCCCACCTGAAACAATATGACTTTTTACAGAGTCAGTGTCTTATGTACATTGTTAAGCAGTGTTGCCTTCTAATGAACCACCATTTTGTATTTGTCATCTGATTCTGTTGGGACTTGCAATCACTCATTGGAACATTCTCTTGATGTGCAAAGTGTTCCTTTATCAATAGCTCATTCATTCCAAAGCAAGAATAGATGCGAAGGCAGATCCCTGTCAGGAAGTACTGAAGCATAATTATTGCATGCCTATGCTATGTTCTTAAGTAAAAATCCTAGTTAAATGCACTGCTTTAAAAAAAATGGACCTTCTTAATTTCTTTCCATATCTGATCTAGCCCTTTGGTATCAGTTCTTTTCACTGTGGCAGTGCACATTTCTGAAAATGCCCATTTTCCTCCCTAATTCACATTTTCATGGTTTAGCCTATGAGAGGTACATTTGAATTCTGGATGCACAACAGAAAAAAGACACTTGTGTATGGGAATGAAATGAGTTTTGAGGAGGACTTTGGAGACCATCAACAAGCCCAAACATCCCATGTTCATGCATTCCTAAATCTGAGGTTAGCCAGATAAATTACATAGGAAGGTTAGGGTTGTTTAAACAATGAGTGAGTTGAGCAACCTACTCTGAAAGTAGGTTTTGTTCTGTGTGTTGCGGGTGGCTGGGAGACTTTGCTTACTCTGTGTTACATTCATGGGACTCAGGCTCTGGTTTAGCACCATAGCACACACCAGGAAGGGCTAACCCTCCAAAAGGCAGCGGATTAGCTGTGCATTAGAAATCTGCATTAATAGAAATGAAAGTCAACCAAGCCAATCTTGCAATCTTGCCAATGTGTCATGTGGGCAGGTGGTGGGTGGCCAGCATGAGCAATGAGACTCAGGTGTGCTAAATGAGTGCTAGAAAGAAACATGTTAGAAGCCTTGAAGGAAGCAAATTAAGTCTTCCAGGCAAGGGATAAGTGACTGCATTTCTTGGTCCTCTTTGAGTCACTTCTGAAAACTTTCATGGGCTCCATAACTGGATCCAGCCTTCTCCCTGAAAATACTTAATGAAACTCCTTGCTATATTATCTTCTTCTTCCATTTTGGGGCAGGAGGCATTGAACTTGACCTCTGCTAGCATCATCTTTCTCAGGACATAACTAGAGATACAACAAAAGTTTGCTCTATTCTCACTTCAGAAGCATCATCATGTTCATCTCAAAGGACAGGTAAGCATTCGAAGCCCCAGAATGCTTTCCCAGTTTGGATTAAAATCCAAATCAGAGTTGACTTTCTAGCTTGCCTTTTCTTTGAAAGGCTGCATCCTAGACAGCTGCTGCTGCTGCTGGAAGGGGGAACTCTCCTGACCAGTAGGTTCACTTGGAGGGATGAGATTTTACTCTGCACCTGCAACAATTTTTTTCAGGCATGGCCTTCAAAAGCAGCCCCTGCAGAAATGGATGGAAATGATTGTTTCTTTAAAATTGCATACAAATTGTTTTCAAATGCTTCATCTGGGGAAAATCAGTACATTTGAATCATTCCTGAAATTAGGAGAGCTATTTTCTGAGTTGGTCAGAAATCCCCTGGCTGATTTCCAAGTCAAGTGAACATGAAATGGACAGAACTTTATCATCTCTAGGTGGGACATAGGGTGCAGTTTGTAGATGTTGTTTAAGAAAATTATCTGTTGCAGCTACAGGTAGTTCTGTTAGCATTCTTCCTTCACCCCCATGCCAGGTTTCCCAATAAAATCATTGCTTCTCCTCAAAATTTGTTTTTTGTTTTTATTTCTGGAGGTTTTATGTGAGTAATTGCATGTTTTCTCCTGCAGTGCAAATAACAGTTTCAAGGAAAAGGAGATTCAAATGGAGGGAAAGACCATTTTAGGGTACAATCTGCAGCTGTAGGATTTTTTTCCTATCTAGGCATGCATAGGATTGGCCCCTTAGTTGTGAAAAGAGTTTTAAAAAAACAACTTCCAGGACTGCAGCCACAATCTGAATGTTTCTCTCAAGGGCTGATACTAACTAAAAAGAGATGTGGGAGACCCTGATCACGAGCCTTCCAAGTCATGTTAGTGGTGTCCTTAGGAGTTGTTCTCAGCCTTGCCCAGCCTTAGTGTGCAAGCTCACCTGAGAGCACTTGAGCTTCCCTGTTGCTTCAGCCTCCCAGCAGCCCCTGTAAAAGGAAACAGGAAGAAGCTACTGGCAGGTTGGTCAACAGCTCTCACCAAGAGCACTTTGGCTGTTCCATAACTCTGTTGGCATCTTCTTCTTTTGATTGGAGCAGGCTTTACTTCACCCTACCCCAATGTGTGGTCCTCCAGAAATACTGGCCTGCAACTCTCTTCATCCCCTTCAATGACTGTGCTGGCTGGGAATGATGGGAAGCACTGTCCACATCTGGAGGGCGAGTGGGTGGAGAAAGCTGTGTCACCTGCTCCTGAATTCTGCCAACCGCTACTTCTATTTTTACTCTGCTCCAGCTGTGCAGCCTATAACTTGGCTTGCCCCTTTGAATCTCTCTTCAACATGGAACATGTTCTTCCACTGCTCCCTAACATGACATGGATTCTTATCCGAAGGAGCGCTATCTTAAGTAATTCCAGAACCATGAGCATCAATGCTTTGCTTTGGACTTCTTGTTTAATAGCTGACACATATACTATTCTTTGTGGGATGTCCGTGTAGTGAGGTGTGCCCAATGTTGTTTGAGTACTGGCTAGTTCTGCTTCAGCTTTGCACACTTCTGGGATAAACACACGTTTTACTCCTTTCAAATGAAACATGCAGGTGGTCAGTTGGGCTCGGTCTCTGGGTATCTGTCAATCACAGTGATTGGAACTGACAGTCTCAGTCTTGAAGAGATTGTCAGATTTTCAGGATTATCCTCATTCCATCATACTTCCCTGTGCACATTTTAATATATACATTTTCTAAGTGGTTTTTGTTACTTGGCTGCAGTTGTCTGCATTCCTCCTTGAAATATTCGCATTTGTGCACACTTTTCACCAATCTATGCACATTTTTTGCACATTTTCCCCCACAATGAGTGGCCTTCCAGGCTCAGAAAAGTGCAGATTTTGGGATACAACAATGTCTTGATTCACATATTGGTTCACGGCATATAAATTTGATGCATTCAGCCATTCCTAGCATAAATCAACTCCCAACACCTTCTGTTTCCAGCTGTAACCTATATAGCATTGTGAAAGAAAGCATTGCTCTTCATATCCTGAAAGGACATCATATCCTGTTAGCTGTGGTCTGAGGGCACAGTGCGCAGCAGCTTTCTGTGCTTTCAGTTCAGTGCATCAATGCACAACGGAGAAAAGAAGAATCTGTTCTAAGGCAGGAAAGTATTTTCCTTCCAGGACCACAGTGAGAAGTTGCAAACACAGCCCTCTTTGGGCCAGCAATGACACTTTGAAGACATATAAATTAGAGATGGTTGAGAAATTCACTCCATCATGCATTTTTCTTTTCCCTTTTTTAAGGATTTGTATAGTCTATATCTCCTGGAAACAAATGCAAACCCTAATACAATTTGTTGCAGTTGGAAACTTGTATATATCAGAACTTGCATTTAAAAACATGTGGGGGAAAGTGTATGTATTTCTAAAATGTACACAAATATGATTTAATTAGTGGGAGCATGTGTACAGAAATGCATATATTGGAAAAATGCCCACAAATAAAATAAACAAATAAAATGTCTGTGAGGAGTGAAAAAGAAAAAAACAGGACAGAACAAGCTTGGCAGTGGGAAAATGAGGACCTCTTTGAGAATGAGATTGACAGATCTGCCTGTCCCTGGGGAGCCCAGTACAGGATGAAACCTCCAGAGCATATGGATTTTAGGGGTAGTGTTTTGCATAAGGGTGTCTCTGAACATTCCATTTTCCAGCATGAAGGATATCACTGCACCAGCTGTGTCCTTTCAGAGCTCATTTTGGAGACGTGTCCAGCAGAATAAGAAGTGGCATTTTTCATCTATTTGAGCATTAGGCAAAATATGAGAAAATGTGCAGTACATGACAGCCTTCTCAAGCATAGGGAAAAACAATGCAGACTTGGTTCATAATCTAGTTAGGGATGAGGTTTTAATTTATTGATGGAAAATTTGTCTTCAACTGAATAGTTCCCCATTTTCCATTTGCATCTCCAGGTGTTAAGAAATGTTAAGTATGATGTGACATCCTCATAGAAAATAGCATGCATTCTTGTGTGTGTGTGCGTGAGTGCGTGCGCACATGTGCACACATGCACCTAATGTGATGGAAATCATAGACATTTTCTTACCCTTGAATATATAACACCACACATTACAGTAAGGCCTGGACCTGCCTTAAGTTTGATGTAATATCGACGAAATTGCACAAGAGATGAACTTTGCATCAAAGAGCCCAAATAGGATTTTCTTGTAATCATTATATTTATATACTGCCTTTTTTCCTGCAAGGAATCCATGGCAGCTTACCAAATCCTTTCCTCCATTAATTATCCTCACAAAAACCCTGAGTAATGCGTCAGGTTGAGAACCAGTGATTGTCCCAAAGTGAGCTTCGTGGCCAAATGGGGATTAAAAACCAGATCTCCCGAGTCCAACACTCTCCTTGAAACAGAACGAAAGGTGTATGGTTGGGGAGGACTAAAATGCCACATTGCTTAGCTTCTCTTTCTAAGATGGTAGGATGATGATGGAGCATATCGACTCCATGCGATTATGATCATGTTTTGATGCTTGCAATGCAGGGATGCATTTCCTGAACACAGACTTGCTAAAGGACATGTCCTATTCCGTACTATGACAGTGGAAAGCCATGGGCCACAGTCTACTGGCAGAATGGAATGACATCTTATCTGTTGGGATTGGGATGATCAAACTGCCTCCTGGGCTGCCTGTCTGCTCATGCGATGCATTAAAACTTAAGCAAGGTATTCCTTGCAAACAGAAAGAGATTATATAATTTTATATAATTCCCTGGAACTTTGTCGTTCTTTCTACAGGTAGAACATTCTAGGCCAATGAGGACACTGCAAATACACATAAAGAGATGGATGGCATTCCTACATGAAAAGTTATCTCCACATTGAAATGACCACATGAAGATTACCACACATGATGATTCCAAGAAAAACCCATGTTTAGCTGGGTATACGATGCCATACATGTCCAAAGTTTGTCATGTTTGAGAAGCTACGTTTCAGAGTCACTACCTCAATCTCGCCTAACTCACAGAGTTGTTGTAAGAGCTCCTTGGTGGAAAGGTTGGATTTAAAAGTAATAAAGAAAGAAGGGATGTGTCCAATATGGAAAAGCTTTAGATGTTGGTGTATCGCCATAAAAAGGGACCCATTTTGTCCAGATCAACTGAACACTGTTCCAGATGCCAGGATCCCTGGCCATACAAGACAAACTGCAGCTCCCCGTTGCCAGGCTACAAGTGGCCCACTGTTTCCTTGCTAAAAGCGCTCTCTTTCCCCATGGATCTTACCTCCCAGTGTTGCAAAGAAGCCCTCAATGGCACAGCCGGTGGGACCAAATATGAAGTAGCCATTCCAGGCCGTGGAGAAGGTGACGGTGAAGCCGAAGCAGGCCATGAAGAGGTCCGCTACTGCCAGGTTAACCAGGATATAGTTGAGTGGCTGCCGTAGCTTCTTATGTTTGAAAGTCACAACTAGGGTGAGGATGTTGATGGGCAGCCCGGTGGAGATGAGGAAGAAGATATAGCAGCAAACAATTTTGTATTTCCAGGGTTCTGCTAGGTAATATTGGGGATATTCAAAGGGGCTCCGCACCACCCCTGTTTTATTGGAGAAAGGCACATAGAAATTGATACCTTCCGTCCCATTCATGGTTTGCTTATTTAATCAACTGCTATGATGTTGTTTTGTCCTTCTTATTGTTCTTTTTAAGCCAATTCAATTTTGGGATTGTCTCCCCTTGCCCAACCTTTATTCTTTTATAATTCTAAAAAAATAAAAAATAAAAAAGAGAAAAGCCCCTGAGGGAACGCAGTGCTGGGGCATTTGCCTTCATCTACCTCCTGGGGCTGGCGAAGCCAGGATCCAAAGGGGTTTTTTTATACCCTCTGCCCACTTCTGCTGAAAGAGAGGGAGGAGGGAGGCGGGGAGGGGAGGATTAGGGTCTAGGCTAACTTTATATGACAAGGGCAATGGGATTGAGGGGCTGATGCTTTAAGCATCCTCTAAGTAGCTAGTTGGCCCCAAAACCTGCCCTAAGGCGTATTAGTTTCTATTAAGTGTTTAATATCACTTAAGGGGTTGGTTTATTTAGAAATAAGAGAGATACCTAGCCTAGCAATAGCTAATACAGAGGAAGGCTAGGAAAAAGAGAAAGAAAAAACTTTGCATCCATCTGAAACAAGATACCGTTGCTTCTTTGCCAACATCATCCAGGCACATTATTTACTTCAATTCATATGGCTATGATATTTGCAGTTGTGCCAGAAAAAAGCCTTAGTTCCAAAGAAGAAAATATGCATGTGGCTCTGAGCTTATATCCTAGTGGTTGCAATACAGTGGAGCATTTGAGATAGCACACTCAAGTACTTCCTGACAGTAAGGACCCCGAGGGTGTGGAATGAGCTTCCACAGGAGGTGGTTGAGGCCCCATTGGTGAGGGTGTTCAAGAATGGGCTGGACATGCACATGGTGGGCATATTGTGAGCAGAGCCAACTGGAACCGGAGGTCAGACTAGATGGTCCGGGAGACCCCTCCTGACTCACTCTGTTTCTATGTTCAGTTGAGATCTCAGCCAACCTTGGTTTCCCATTCAGTCCCCATCACACCAACTGCAGGATGGAGATGAGGAAAATAATAACTGTCTTATAACTCTGTTATAAGAAATACTGAGTTAAAGGATGTAAAACAACATTCCAAGGTGACAATCCTATGCCCATTTAACTGGGAATAAACCCCCACTAAACTCAACAGGACTTATTTCTATGTACTTCATACATGTAGTCATATATGGGAGAGGAAAGTACTATATAAATGTGAAATCTCCTTCTTGTTCTTCTTCACCTGCATTGCAGTCCGTAATCTGGAACTGAAGTGTAATTAGTAGTTTAAACAGGTTCTGCCCTGGATCCAGCTTAATAAAGTTTTATCCTTTCCATATCAAGTTGAAAATGTTATCCAAATATTAATTCTTGAGTGGTTCATAAAGGTTTTTAGAATTTCTCCAGCCCATAGTAGAAGAGCAGGGTACCCAACCTCTACAGACATGCTTTAAAAGTGCCATGTGGAATTTTTGGCCCATGTGTACTGAGGGAATTGTGCTTAACCTATCCTGCCCCCAACACACTATTATATGCTATCTATAAACAGAACCCACTGAAAACAGAGAGCATGATAGGAAGTGTTTTCTGGGGGAGGGGATGAGATCAGAGGATTTTGAAATCAACCCTAGTTTCTGGATAAATATAACAATGTTGCTAGAAATCCTGTGTTCCTTCAGAAGAATGAGTTTCAGTAAGTAAATGCAAAGAAACAACAAGGCACTTGGGTACCTTCATCCCTATTTCACATACACAACAATGTTTTCTATTTTCAATACCAAAGCAACTTGATCTACATGTTTTTCTCAATAGGGTAATAGTGGTATCTTGTTCTCCTTTCTGCCTGAGATTTCTTCATGACCTACTTCGGCATTTTATAAAGTGTTGCTGGCAAGGATCCGCTGTTTACTTATTGAGGATCTGCTTTCCGCTTTGTAATCTTATGCTTTGCTGCTTAGTATAATGTGATCGCCTAATTTAGTAGAAGTTGAATCTTTGGCAGAGGACTATAGGAAGTACATCAGAGATGGCCATCTTATTCACAGTCCTGAACTTGAAACAAGGGACAGACCAGCCAGGATTACTGCTTGTGAGCTATAGTTTCATGCAGTGCTGATTCCAGGTTTTGGAGGGCCTCAGGCAATCACCATCACTGGGCCACCTCCCTCCCTCTCTGAGTCCACCTTCTCACTGCCCTTGTCACCAGCTACTTTTGCTCATTATACTCCTTTTTGCTCCATCACTGGTACCACTCACTTGCTTGACAGAGAGCCAGTGAACAAGAAGGTAGAGGCATCTGTGTCATTCCCGTCCCACCATTTCTATTATCTGGGCCAGAGCAAAAGGCAGGGGAGCAAGCAGGTTGCCCCAGCAAAGAGGAGAAGCAAATCCAGGAAGTTATTGGCAGTGGGCCTTTGTTGGGGCATGGGCCATTGGCAGGTGCCCAGTCTTGCCTGTCCTTGGCACCAATTTCATCAATGGAACTCTGCAGTATTATATTTGTCATTTGGTTTCATGTAGCTCCCAGTGGTGAAAACCCTCCTCATTTCACTCAGATGATGATTGCAACTCTCTACAGATCCTGAAGAGAAGGACTCTGTTCCATATTTTGGCCTTCCCTCTGGAAAAGAAAAGAAGGTCACTGGGTTCTCTGAGGAAGCCCCTCCTTTCTTGGATGAAACTTCCACTCCAGAAATGGTATGGCAATCCCTCTCACAGCTTTGCAGGGATTGTGGGTGTTAAGGAGGCTCTTTAGCAACTGTTTCTAAAGCCATGTTGACAAGATGCCATTAAAGACGCAAGAAGGAAAGCTTTTCAATGCGACATTTTGTACCACAACTTCTTCAACCCATCATGCATGTCTGAATCTATCATTAATTGGTTTCTGAGTACTTCACAAACTTTGGAATACGTGTTCTTGCATTCTTGCAAGTATCTAGAAGGTCATCACTAGATCAGGCAGTTAGTTCAGCCTTCCCCAATCTGGTGCCTTCCAGCTGCTTTTACCTGAAGCTCCTATAAGCTGGCTGGAGTTCATGAGAGCTGATACTCCAAAACATCTGCAGATCAGCAGGTAGGGTAAAGATGAATTTGTGTTTAACACACTGCAACAAAACAGGAAATGTAATATAACTGATGCTGCAGGCATACTACCCAAGATTAGAAGGTTGAACTGAGAGCAGTGGGGAGGAAGGACAAGTCTGATGGACATCAGTTCTCCAAAAGAAACAAAGCATTAAAATGGAGATAATTGGGGAGAATTGAACTGGAGAAATTTATTGGGAATATAGTATGTCTAATGGGTACTAGGTGTTTCATCTTCAAGAGAAAAATGTTTGGAAACATGCTTTCCATGTGAACTACCACTGCCACAATAACTGGAACAAGATCTTTTCACCCCTGGTGAAAATAAAATGCCAGTATATACTGAGCACTCTTTTCAGGGCTCCAGGTTGGGCAAGGCTACCTTAATGAATGCCAGACTCTAAAATTATCGAAGCCTTGATGCCTTAAAAGCCAGAAACCTTGGAAAATATGCAGTGCAGCCCAGTGTTGAATGTCAGAAGAGCATTTGAGCATATTCCAGTTGCAGACAAACTGGGAAAAGTTGAGAGGAAGGCAACAAGGATGATCAGGGGACTGGAAGCAAAGCCTTACAAGGACGGACTGAAAGAGCTGGGAATGTTTATCCAGGACAAGAGAGGAGTGAGGGGAGACATGCTAGCACTCTTCAAGTACTTGAAAGGCTGTCACACAGAAGAGAGCCAGGAGCTCTTCTCAATCATCCCAGAGTGCAGGACATGGAATAACAGGCTTATGTTATAGGAAGCCAGATTCCAGCTAAATATCAGGAAAAATTTCCTGACTGTTAGAGCAGTACAGCAATGGAACCGATTACCATGGGATATTGTGGGCTCTCCCACACTAGAAGCATTCAAGAGACAGTTGGACAGCCATCCGCCAGGGATGCTTTAACTTGCATTGAGTGGGGAGCTGGATTCAATGGCCTTATAGGTCCTTTCCAACTCTGTTATTCTATTATTCTTGTTGTACACGTGCATTCTAGCAAAATGCATGAGAGGCTAACCATTTTGGTGGGACTGACAACTCAGAATCTGATGAGATGTGTGCAGAGGAAGCTGCCTGATCTGGCAGGACAGATAGCTCAGAATCTGATAATGAGAGGATTGTTGAAACGAACCCAGCTCCAGCTGTAGTCCAAGGCCCTGAGTACTTGCCCATGCCTGCTAGGAGAGAGATCAGTTCAAGGGCAGCCAAGGAAGAGCAACAACATCTTAGGGAAGAGTTTTAGAGATGGGGAGTCTATCAGATGGGGAACCCCTGCCTCCTAAGCAGATGGACCCAATAGCCTGGCATCACAGTCATAGGGTGGCCCAGCTGGAGTCTCTGAGGGAGGAATGCAGGCATGCCCGGTTCCACAGCATTCCTCATTCCATGGGCAGATGCAGAAGGATTCATAAGGAAAGCTTTGGGTGAAGAATGTCAGAGAGGGTTCAACATTTTGCTTTGTGTACATTTTGGCAAAGAAAAGTGGGTAAGAATATTACTGGCAGGAGAGAGAAACATAGCTCATGACAATTCTATGATCTCCCCATGCCCTTAAAATCAGAGATATATTGATCTCCATTTATAAAATCTACATATAAAATGATCTCTGCTAGCCATTTGAAACTAGCAGGTCCCAAATCCAGTCCCATATATAAGTCCTTTATGTTTAGAACACCTAGGTTCACCCTGAAATCTGGTTGAGGAAGGATCTGCCATCCCTATTATTTAATGTAGAGATGCCAGACTGGTAGGCACAAAACTTTCATTGGCTTGCATCACACATCATTTGAACAAACCTGCACATTTTCCATGGTCTATGGAATTTTGCCCAAACAAATCAGTCAGACAATCATGTGCTTCCCATGGCAGTATGTTTTCTACACTTCCCACTCAATCTTCCCACTCCTGCCATGAATCCTGGCACCCCCTGCAAACAAAACTTCTTTCTTTTCCCTCTTGTTCCCTATGGACCTCACGGTCCA